GACAGCAACTTGTCTGTTCCTATCCCCCCAATTCCCCAATAAAAATCTTTAAAAATAAATAAATAAATAAAAATGTGCAAACACTTCAAGAGACATTTTTCCAAAGATGAAATACAGATAGCCGACAAGCCATGAGAAGAGGCTCAACATCAAGAAGCATCAGAGAGAGCCAGCCGAGTGGCGCGTTGGTTAGGAGTTGGCTTGGGACACCAGCTCTGAGCAGCAGGTCCCTGGTTCAGATCCCACATGAGGGCCAGTGACGCTGCGCCCTCTACAGCTAAGATGGTGAACAATAGCTCGACCTGGAGCTGGGCTGCCGTGAGTCGCCAGCGATGGCGTAGGCTGCAGTAGAGCTGCAGTGGGTTGCCATGAGCTACCGTGAGTGGCTGGGAGCTGGCGTGAGCGGCCAGCAGCAGCGGAGTAAGATGCCAAGAGCCGCTGTGAGCGGCCGTCTACGGCCTGGCAACTGATCTGCCTCACCCAGGAGGAGTGCAATGATCACAATACCAACATGGGCCAGTGAAGCGACATCTTCTACAACTAGACTGAAGAACAAAAGGACAGCAACTTGTCTGTTCCCCTCCCCGATTCCCCAACACTGTTCCCTCCTCCAATTCCCCAATAAAATCTTTAAAAAAAAAAAAGAAGGAAGGATTTCTGACACCTGCCACACCATGGTTAAACCTTGAGGGCGTTACACTCAGAGAAATCAGCCAGTCGCAAAAGGGCAAATACTGAACGGTTCCATATGAGGCACTAGAATAGTCAAATTCATAGAGACAGAAAGTAGAATGGTGGTTGTCAGGAGAGATTAAATCGGGTTTATAAGCCTTGAGCACACTTTCTCATTGCAGAGGTCGTATTTGAAATAACTCTTGAAAAGTAACGTAAGTTTCTGTCTTCATATGTGACGCGTTGGTTAATGATCTGTCTCTAGTCTTACTTCCGGAGACCTCAGGTCTGTCTGTCAGGCGAGCGATGTCCCCGGGTGTACACTGTCATGTTGTGAGCACTGGGGTGCGGTCACGTCCCAAGGGCTAGAGGGCTCGTGGCTGCATGAACACGGCTCCTCCCCTCTCTTGTCTCTTGAGTGTATTCAAAGCTTATAAACCCAATTAAATCTCTCCTTCGGACACAAAATAATAATTCTCATTTGACAGGAAAGTTGATGAAATACCAGAGCTAATTACACACACACAGAGAAACGCAAAACCTACCCATCCCAGTGGTTGACCTTCATGGTGACCAGGTGGTGTATCATCGGCTGTGTGTACTCGGGAAAGCCAGCAATGAACTTGCTGAAAGAGACAACAGACAGAGACGGTGAGGAGGTGGAGGAACAGGAATGCACACACACTGCTTGTGTAAAATGGTGTCACCACTTTCAAAGTTTCCTACGAAGTTAAATATACAGAAATCTCCTTGTAAGTATTTGGCCGAGGAAATGAAGATGTATGTTCATATAAAGACTTCTCAGTAAATGTGCACAGGCTGGCTTCATTCATCAGAGCCCCAGATTCAGAACAACCTAAACATCTGTGACAGGGGAGCTAACTGATAGCCTGTAGGACAGACGAGAACTCAGCAGAAAGAGGGGCGAGCTGCTGACACACAATACACGGCTCTCAAACCGCCATGCTAAGTGTGAGGCGATGTGGTCACGTTCGTTCTTCCTGATGCCACGCCCGCGGCATGCGGCCGAGGTGCCCTCTGCACCCGATGAAGACGCTGGCGCCCCAGGTGTGCGCTGTCAGCACTCACTGGGCTGTGAGCTTTGTGCAAGGGCAGTTGGTGGAGTGTCAATTATGCTTTAAAAATAAAGGCCACATCTCTCCAGAATACCATGGGGGAATTTTTTTAAATAGTCTCCGAGTGGGTTAGGGCCTTCAAATCATGACCCCAATCCAAGAAGCCATAAGAGAAGAGATTGGCACATTCAAGTGCCGGTTTTCTTTTGTTCTGCCAGGAACAAAATCATCTGCCAGGAAAAGCACCAAAAACAAAGTCAAAAGCTAAACATGAACTCAGAGCAAAATCTGCCACTGCTATCACAAGCAGAGGCTTGCACACAAAGGAGCTCTTCCGACCAATAGAAACGTCGTCACCCAGCAGAAAAGCCACCAAGGAGCTCTGGAAAAGCAAACAGACACAGCTCAAGCCCAGGAATAGGTTGAGCCTCCCTCACATGGGTGATGCCAAGAAAACCCCTGTCAGGCTGTCAGGTGCCAAAGCAGGGGTTTGCAGCGCCATGGGAAGGGTCTGGAAGCATCTGGACACATACTGGGGACAGCATCTGGTGCAGCCTCTATGGACAGAGACCGGCACCGTGCAGGACATTTAAAACATGAACGCCCTGGGCCGGCCGAGTGGCTCAGTTGGTTAAGAGCTCTCTCAAGAGTTTGAGCTCTGAGCAACAGCGGTTCGATTCCCGGCCGGAGCTGAGCAGCCACTGAGCTGCCAACAGGTGGCAGGATGGCTCAGCTTAATAAATAAATAAATAAATAAATAAATAAATAAATAAATAAATAAATAAATAATAAATAATAAATAAATAAATAAATAAATAAATAAAAATAAAAAAACATGAACGCCCTTTGGTCCAGCAATTCTACTTCTGTTAATTCATTCAGATATAACCACACAGATCACAACGACCATACACAAAAATATTCATTTCACATCATTTCTAATGGCAAAGCCTGGACAGAAGCCAGCAGCTGGGCAGGATTCTAGAGAATCGCAGAGCAGCGACTGGCAGCCTCACAGGAAGGCCCAGACGAGGCTACCGCCTGAGTACTAGTCCGACACCACTAGCGGCTGACCTTGGAGGAGACGCACTGCTGGAACCAGAGGCCCCAGTGCCCTCACTCAGTGCTCAGCATCTGCAAGGCCAAGTGCAACCCAGGGCATGTCCACCAGAGGGCAGAGGGGTGTCCTGAGGGGACAGCAGGGTGGCGGTGTCACAGCAACAAGAATGCCTCCAACCAGCACGTTAGAGGACATGCAGAAGGGAGGGGTCAGTGGCAGGCTCCACAAGTGTCCAAGACAGAAAGAGCTGAGCGAAGGAGACAGCTGAGCCAACAAGCATGACGAGGGCGTTTGAGGGCTATTAGGAACGGACAAGTGACAGAAGTAGGTCACCAACCGGATGTTGGGAATAAGAGAAGGAGAAGGAGAAGCAAAACTGAGCTGACAGGACAGCGTACTGTTTACTGAGCCAGGACGCACAGAAGTTAACAGTTTACTCTGAGGTGTCCTCAGTTTGAAGAACTCAGCGGAAAGAAACATGCAAAATTTTGATGGAAAGCAAACTGCTAGAAGGCAAAATATGACAATACGTTTTAAGAAGGACACACAGGACTGCAGATGTAGGAATCCGTTGAGGAATCTACAGCAGCAAAGGACAGACCAACGAAAGGTCTCACAGCTGCTGGAAAACAGCCCAGGACGTGAGCCCGTCCCGTCCACACATCGTCCAGGGGCTGGGCCGGCCCGGCTGGGGACAAGCTGAGGGACATGGCTGCTGGGTGAGGCCAGGGGCGGGTGACACGGCCTCAGGTGGGAGGAGCTGGACACACGCCTCATGACCCCATTGGTGCACATTCCAGAAAAGGTGGACTCAGGGCACAGAGGCGGGTCAGAAGTTGCCAGGGATTTTCTGGAGTGAGGGAACATCGCCCAGCTGGCTGCAGTGGTGGTTACCCATCTGCCAAAACCCCCATTTTAAGTCAGTGAGTTGTACTTTATGTAAATTACATGTAGTGAAGCAGGTGTGCAAAAATAAAGCTGATGTTTGAAGGAAGACTTTGTGTTAGAAGCTGAGGGTACTGAACAAGCTGCTGAGCAGGAAGACACTTGCTGACCGGGAATCTGACGGCAGGCCTGCAGCCAGAACACACGAGGACCCAATTCTCAGGGCGAAGAAAACAGCTCGCCATGGGCCGGCTGAGCGGCACATTGGTTAGGAGTTGATTTGGGACGCCAGCTCCGAGCAGCAGGGCCCCGGTTCGGATCCCACATGAGGGCCAGTGACGCTGCGCCCTCTATAGCTAAGATGGTGAACAACAACTTGACCAGGAACTGGGCTGCCGTGAGTCACCAGCGACGGTGTAGGCTACAGTGGGGCTGGCCGGCAGCAGTGTGCACTTTTGTGAGCCACTGTCCAGTGGCTGGTGAGCGACTGCCTCAGCCGGGAAGAGCACAATGATCATAATACCAACATGGGCCTGTGAAGCGACGTCCTCCACAACTAGACTGAAGAACAAAAGGACAGCAACTTGTCTGTTCCCCCTCCCCCGATTCCCCAATTAAAAAAACCAAGGGGGGAAAAAAAAAAACCAAGAAAAGAAAATAGCTCGCCTGGCAGTAAACAGGCAACAGGTACCAAAGCGCAGCCACAGTGACACATTCAAACTGCAGATGTGACCATCAAACTGCATTCCGCGGACTCACAACAACCCACCTCCTCACTGTGGCTCACTGCTGGCTCTGGACCCTTCCAGACCCCTCCGCCCTGGGCCGTCGCCCCCACACCAGGCTCCCTCACCACGCACTCCCTTTCCCTCCACCCACAGTCCAGGCTGACAGCAGGACACGGCATCTGCCCTGCCGTATGCCCAGTGGTCATGAGGTGCAGCTGTGGACCTGGGTCCCCGTGAGCACTGGACCCCACCCTCACAGACTGCCTCTTGTCCACATTAAGTGAGCAAAATGCACAGTGACAGAGGACCCCGAGCCAGGTCAGGATCCGCCAAGCGTCTCTACAAAGTGCAACAACGAACCCCGCGTTAGAAACCTCAGCAACAGACTCACGGGTCAAAGCTGCAAGTTATTTACTGGAGAAACTGGGGGGGGGTAAGGGGGGCGGTAGATCGGCCCATGAAACCTACGTGCAGATGTCAACGATCCAAGAAAACAGAAGATAGACAGGGGAGGCCCTTGGGTACAGGAGGCCACGCAGCGGGAAGCAGAACAGGAAGGTGCTCAGTCCCAGTCTTTCTGGGAGGAGGCCAAGCGCTACGCTTTCTAGAAGTCTGCAGGCTGGCTGTGGAGACGCAGTGGCTGCGTGGCCTGCAGGGCCGGGCGGTGGCGTCTACCCGCCACCCAACAGACATCCGTCATGAGCGCTAAAGCGCCCCCTGATGCTGGTGCGCGAGGCAGTAAGCCACGCCACCTGCTGCTGGCGCTGAGGCAGGTGACCCAAAGCGCAGGAAGCCATTTCCCTGGACCTCAGTCACTGAGCAAAAGGTCCGACATGATTTCTGCAAAGTGCAGTCAGGAGTGTAAAACATTTATTCCCGACCTGGTGCCTCAAATACTCTTCCTCACTGAGCTCGCAAACACGCTGGATGTAACTTCACCTTGGGAAACGAGTTTACTGACTCAGAAAAGGAGATGCAGTCACTTCTAATCCAAGGTGTCATTCTGAGACTCAGAGCCTGCGTGACACCCAGCATGTCACCCGTCAGCAGCAGGCTGTGCTCTGAAAGACCGAGCAGCAGAGGCAGCACCGGGATGGTGGGGGACAGAGAGGCCACCATACAGCGGCCGGGTAGGGTCAGTTCCCGACACTGTCCCACCTCCTTAAGAAGGGACTGACTTCTCCAGCAGGCCCGCTCCTGTCCCCAGGCCGCCCGACCTGCCACTGTCCCCGTTCTCCAGTTTTGCACAAGTGGAAGCACTCGGCATGCACTCTGGGGATCAATGTGAACAAGAGTTTTGATGAGTTTCCGCTTTAACTCTCACACATGACTTATGGTCACTCTTAGTGGACCTTCCAGTACGAGACAGAAAATGGCGGATATGGATTTTTACATCTGAATCAAGCCTATGTTCTCTTTTGTGACAAGTATTAAAAACGTACCTTATAACCAGGAAACAGTTAGATCTGTTACCGACAGCAAAATAGTCAGCCATGGTCAAAATGTCAATTCCGTGCGGGAAAGTACCCTAAGGAAGAAGGCAGGGAAAGGTGAGAATAACGTGACTGAGCACAGGCGTTTCCACACGTTCAACAGCCATATTCAGAGACAGTCACAGACAAAGAGTCCTGACTCGCCCTGACGGCTAACGCTGCACGCGATTCACGCTGGACTCCAATTGTCAAGTCCAGTCCGTTTATCGATTGCCTATCCCGGGCTGGACACGATGCTAAAATTAATTTAACCACTCAAAAATATTTAATTTTTTTTTTCAAACAACTCCAATATTTCAACTTTAAAATGCTGTAAAGACTTTTCTTTAAACCACACACCCTAGAAAGTTGGCAGGCCTCCACAGCAAGAAAGCTACTAATTCATTCAACTTGTGCCATGTCCGGGCAGAAGGACCTAGGAGGTCACTCGGAGGGGCAGGCTGGACTGAGGTCTGCTCCCCACAGCTGCAGGAGGATGAGAGACACTGGCTGGGAGGAGCACGTGGGGCCTGAGGGCCGATGCCCAGAAGTGGGGTCTGAAATGCGGAGGTGGGGGCACCCCACCCACCTTCCCGGAATCTCTCCCAGCCCAGCCCCCAAGTCTGCAAGTTGTTGCTGACACCACTCTGACATCTGAAAATCTGAAAACAGCTTTCTAAAAAGACTTCAATGACAAACTTCCAACCAACGAAGGAAAGAAAGCCTCAGCATGGACCGCAAAAGGCATGGGAGACGCCCGGCCGCTGCGCCCTGCTCATGGCGTCCTTCGTCACTGAGGCAGATATGGCTCAGGTGTGTAAGGAAAACGGCTGGAAGCTCCCACTCACGGCAAAGCTGGCAGGAGTCTGACGAGCAAGGCACAGAAGCAACCAGCACAGGACAAACGCCCCAACTGACCCCATCCTGCATTTCCACCAATGAGCCATGACCATCCCAAAGCAACAGGAGGGAGCTGTCACGGTGGCCGCTGCCCCTGTCACTAAGGATGAGCAGCTCCTGAGTCAAAGTGACACATGAGGCACTGAACTTGGGACTGGATTCCAGATTGTGATAAGGGACTCAGGGTTCCTGTTACCATGGAGACTGTCAGAAACGTGGCTGGTTCAGAGCAACAAGTGAAGCTGGCTCACTTACAGACAGAGCTACACGCAGGGGTCACCCTGCTGACAGAGCTACACGCAAGGGTCACCCCGCTGACAGAGCTACACGCAGGGGTCACCCAACTGACAGAGCTACACACGAGGGGTCACCCCGTTGACACAGCCACACACACAGGGGTCACCCTGTTGACACAGCTACACACAGGGGTCACCCCACTGACATAGCTACACTCAACAGGGGGCACCCCGCCTCCCGGGCACCCCGCCTGGCTCAGCTACAACCATCTGTGGGCTCCCTCGCACTTGCCCGACAGGCCTAAGGCCACCGTGGGCCTGGCGGTCGTGCTCCTCACCCACCGGCCTGCCCACCCCACAGGAAGCACTCAGACCCAGCCGCCTGCCGTGCTCTCCTGGGCCTGGCACTTGACCTCTAAAGTCCACATCTCTGAGCGACACGCTGTGTGTGCACATCACCTTCAAACAGCCAGGCGGCCCAGGCACAGCAACCGGACCCGGGAGGCCAGGCCAGCTTGTGGGACAGGGGCCCCCGGGGTTAAGACAGACGGCTGGCTGCGCCCCATGGCCCTGCCGCACACAGACACATGGTGCTGAGCAGAGGCCCTCGGTGCGGCCCTCAGGGCACCCCATCAGACGTTGGGGCACAAAGGGCTGGACTCAGCTGTTTCACCCACTGCTTCCCTCTCAGGGGCGTCTCCATACCTCACCCTCCCGTCCTCTCTTGCTCCTCAGCCCCTTCCTCGCGGGACCGGCATCTGCCCCCACATCCCACAGGCCCGACACCTCCTCTGATTCCCTCGCCCACGGCACACTCGACCTCTCTACTGGCATGCTCACCTCACACCTCTCGCCCGGTCTCCCCAAACATGACCTGCCTCTGGCCCAGTGTCCACCAGGTTGGCCACCCATCCTGGGGTGTCACATCACACACAGTATGAATAACTCAGGGAGAAAGGCTGACCGGTGGTGACAGGTGCAGGAGGCTCAGGCCAGCACACAGGACAATGCTGGGGCCACTGAGATGGGCCTGGGACCGAAGGCTCCTGGAAGCTGGCTCGCACCCCACGCAGGACGGACAGGGGCACGTCTCTGACCCTGTGATGCAGGGCCCCTCCTCCCACACCTCTGCAGTGCCCATGGGCAGCGGGCAACATCGGGAACCTCGGTCACGCTCAAGGCTCCGATTTCCATCACGTGTGTATAAAATTACCTACACATTCGGGTTTCCTATGAAACACACTACCAATCGTTGAAAACTTGTGTTCACACTCACCTGAGTCGCGTTCTGAGGAAATCTGTAACAGAAGTGACCGTATTAAGTATTAGCTCATTCTAGGTACCTTCCTTTGCTACGTGTGACAAGGCGAGGTGACACTCAGTTTGCAGCTTTCACTATGTCTGCCCCTACATCTACAGGAAGTTTCAGGAATGAAGATTTTTTAAAGTAGCCGTACCTGTCTTCCCACATTCTCCTGGAAGGCAGCCTAAGGACAGAAAGAACAAACAGCAGGGTGAGTGCACGGCCCTTCTGGACACCTATTGGTGAGTTCACGGCAAATGGCCCAGGCTTTGTTTATTCATGCACTTTTCACAAACGTCCTCACTGTGGGCTGATCACAGCCTGCAGGGCGGCCTGTCATCTGTGTCTAAAACCACAATTTAATGTTTCAAGTTTATAAATCAGACACATCCTGAAAAGTGGCCTCCAGCTCGCACCGATGCCCAATTTAAGGTGCTAGATATAAAAATGGGAATAGAGACTAATCGACTGGTTAAATAAAAGCCCAGCAGCCAGATCTGGTATGAGAGAAAGGTCCAGGAGAGGAACGACAGCTCAGATGCGCCGACGTGCCCACCGCCTCCCAGGCACGAGGCAGAGACCCGTGGACCCTAAGCAGGTCCCAGCCCAGGTCGGTGCACAATGACCCCATCCGCGAGCCCTCCCGACCCCGGGGAACCATCACCCCGTGAGCAGAGGTGACGGGAGCACAGAGCGTGAACGTGAGCTCAGCAGGTGCCTCGCCTGTGGGAGGGGAGTGAGTGCACCGGCGTGCCCTGTCCAGGTCCTGCTCAGTAGCCTGGGTCCGACCTCGCCAGGCACAGAGGAAACCACAGCCCTGGCCCCACCGCCACCTGCGGAATCGCCTGCATAGCCATCCGTTTCCATGAAGTTCTTTAAAACCTTACAGAAGAGTGCTCAAATCATAAGCGTACAGTTCAGCAAGCGATCAGAGTGATGGTTTTTCAGTCTCTTCACTACAACTCCTCGCTTTTGTCTGTCCCACAAACTCACACGCCATCCGCCAGAACCTCCAGGGCCGAGAGGCACGGCTGGCCCCTTCACCGTCTCTCTACCACCAGCCCCTGGAAACATGTGTCCACTCCCCTCTTGGCACCTGAACACTCGCTTTCAGCCCCCAGATCAGGGGCCGCGTGCTCCAGAGTGAGGCCCCCATACTCGCCTGTGGTCAGGGGGCTGGGCCACTCCTGACAGGCGAGAATCTGCCCCCGGGACATGGTGGCAGCCCGCAGGCACAGGCAGGGCAGCTCTCCTGTCTCCAGCTCGGGCCCTTCGCTCTGACCCCTCCCTCTGGGCACCTTCTCAGCCCTCAACCCAGCACCGACAGGACATATTCACGCCACACCGAACAAAACCCCGTTTCTGACACATGGAGGCTGACGGTAAATCCTCTCAGGCGCTGCCCGTCTGCAGCCCGCCCCTCTCCAGGGTTGGCTCTCTCCTGGCCTGATAGCCGCCGGGATGCCCCCCAGCAGTGTCCCACTCGGCCTGACTACACAGAGACAGAGACCAGGGGCAGCACCGGGCTCCCCGCAGCACCTCCCTGCAGCCGCCAGCCTCAGCTCAGCCTCGGCCCTCCGTCTTCCTCTCTGAAAACACTGCCTTCACGGCATCCTTAACCCTGAAACCTCTGCAGCTGCTTGTCTGCACCTGAAACCAAGGCTGTCATCTTCAGGTGGGTATGTCATCTCAGCCATCACACTCTGTGCTGAGCCAGCCTTGCCACATGGGTCTCGGCCCGGCCTCCGTTCCCTCACAGCCTACACCAGTCTGTGTCTGGGCCTGATCCAACTAACTGGCCATGAATAAAACTGGGTCACAAGTCCCACAGGGACACAGCCCTGCAGCCGTCACCTCTGACTGGCATCCCTGGGAAGCTACAGAAGTCGGACCCCCAGCCAGCTCTGTGGGGAGAGCAGAGGCCCTGGGCAGCGCCTTTCGGGGGCCACTGTGGAGCCCCTAAATGCTCTCCCATCCCAAACCACCCCAGACGTGACTAGGTTCTGGGGCCAGGCACGTCCAGCAAGGCCCCGGCCGAGCCTGACCGTGGTAGGCTGGGCTGACCTCTGCTCCTTGTTCCCGGCCACGTCCAGGCCACACTCACAGAAGCCACGCACCTCTGCTTCTAAGCACGAGCCCCCCCAGCTGTGTCTGGTTCTCAAGACGCTTGTGGTGGGGCGTTTAATGCCAACTGACCCCCAGGAGACCCAGAGGTGGGAACTGTCACCACCGCGCGGCCTCTCCAGAAGCTGCCCTCGGCGTCCCCTCACCAGCTTTCCTCCTTCTGAGCCCAGGGTCCCGTCCAGGAGGCCACGTGTGCTCAGTGGGCGGGCATGGGTCAGAGCGCCCCCCCTGCCCCCCATACAAAAGGAACAAACTGGAAAACTTACGGAGGCCGCTTTCCTGCAATTCACATTCCGGTCAAACACGGTGGCGATGAGCAGCGCACTGTGGAGAGAGGGGACAACGAGTTAGAAAAAAACGTGCAAGGAGCCGGGAACTGACCAGAGACCTGTCTGACCGGAGACTTGTCTTTCATTTGCTCATCACGATGTACCTGCACCGGACGCTCAGCGAGCCCATGTGCGCAGCAGGCTCCAGGCACCGCAGCCGCAGACACGCTCAGGAGGCAGCCGTGCCGGCTGTGCCGGGAGTGTGAGGGTGCACGCCTGTGTGTAAATGCTGTTGTGGAGCCCGGACGCTGATGGAAGCAGGTGCCCAGGGACGAGAACTGGCCGCGCTGGGGGCGTGGGAAGGCCCACAGGCACAGTCAGAGTGCCACTCAGGGACCCGTGGCCAGTGGAGCCTAGAGAGGCCAACGACCCCTGCACCTCCCCAGAAACAGCCGGCCAAGCACAGAAAACAGGCGCTGGGAGCCACGCAGCACCACGCTGGCCGCGGCCCCCAAGCCACACCCAGGCCACGTCAGAAAGCAGGAACCCCTTCCAAAACCCTAACTCTCATCAGGCTGCACTGAAATCTGTCTTTGCTGGATCATCACACTTCGTTGTTACGCATGAAACAGAGGCCTCATCTGACTGCAGAAAAAGAGGGGTTCGGGGCCAGCGTGTGGACAAAGCACCGTTTCTGAGTGTGACTTGAGGATTTGCGTCTCAGATCAGACTACAGAGAAAACGTCTTGAAGAAGGGCATTTCAGACACATGGAGGTCCCCTCACAGGGATGTCACCACCAGCGGGACCGCGGGGGGCCTGGCACTCTCTACACCTGTCTCCATGTCCTGGACCGGCTTCTCCCACCAGTCCCTTGGGACACCCAGGGGCACGCCCACAATCCCAGCTCAGGCAGCCTGAAGCAGCCGCTGGAATCCATGCCCCCCCACAGCAGCAGTGAGTCTGTGGACCCCTGACGGGCAGCCCATTGCCCCGGAGATGTGCAGGCTTTGGGAGCGGCCTGCTGCCTGCCACAAGGGGTTCCAGTCCCAGGTGCGATTAGGGTTGCCAGTCAGCTGACCTTACAATAGGGGGAGAGTCTCCAGGTAGGCCTGCGTCTTCACAGTCTTCAGAAATGGAAGGAGGAGAGTGAGGGCCAGAGGGATGAAGTGAGAAGCCTCGGCCTGAAGCTGTGGCTGTGCAGGTGGGGGAAGGGCCACAAACCAAGGGACAGAGGCTCCAGGAGCTGGAAAGGCAAGAACAGGTCTGCCCTGGGGCCTCAGGAGGAGCCAGCCCTGCGACACCCTGGTTCTTGCCCAGTGAGACCTGGGTCAGGCCTCTGACCTGTGACTTTTCACTTTGCTAAGTGAAAGGAGCCAGAATCAAAAGTCTATGTACTGTCGGGCCGGCCGAGTGGCGTGTTGGTGAAGAGTTGGCTTGGGACGCCAGCTCTGAGCAGCAGGGCCCTGGTTCGGATCCCACATGAGGGCCAGTGACGCTGCGCCCTCTACAGCTAAGATGGTGAACAACAGCTCGACCTGGAGCTGGGCTGCCGTGAGTGGCCGGTGACGGCGTAGGGTGCAGTGGGGCTGGCCGGCAGCTGGCGTGAGCTTTCGTGAGCCACCATGAGCAGCCGTCCGATGGCCGGCTACCGATCTGCCTCACCCGGGAAGAGCAAAATGATCATAATACCAACATGGGCCAGTGAAGCGACATTATCCACAACTAGTCTGAAGAACAAAAGGACAACTTGTCTGTTCCCCTCCCCCAATAAAATCTTTAAAAAAAAAGTCTATATACTGTATATTTTGATTTATAAGACATTCTAGAAATTGTAAAACTATAGGGACCCAAACCAGGCTGGTAGTGGCCAGGGGTAGGGGGTGACTACAAAGGGCAGAGGGGGGGAATCTGGGTGATGGGCTGTAGTTGGTACTGTAGCTGTGCAATCTCTGAAAACCCAAAGGACAACATGCAAGTTAAAAACAAACTACCAGAAAGTGAGGGGTTACACGGAACAATGCCAGGCCCTGGGCGGGCTTGAGGGATTCGGGGACACAGTGCACAGAAGTGTCCTCCTGGGTGGTGCACGTGACCCACAGGGAGGTGGGTCAGCAGATCTGAAACCACTGCAGTGGACACGGAGGTTAAACAGGTGGAAGACACAGCGAAGAAGGGGAGCCGGGGTGAGCAGCAGGCAGGCAGGAGGCCACACAGACTGGGGGCAGCAGCTGGAACCCCATGAGGTGCTTGTGCCCCTGACACAGGCACGGAATCTGGGTCTGGGATTCTAAATTCCACTGTCCGCTAAGAGGGACGCAGAGTCCAGGCAGTGCCGACTCCAGGGCTGGGGTCTGGGGGAAAGCATAAGCCTGGGGCGTCTGTAGTGCTAGAAAGAAAGGGAGTATTCAAAAAATTAAAAGTACGGGATCCTTGGAAATGGCACAGGTACAGGTCTGAACCAGCTCACAATGGCCGGAGGTGGGCAACGGAGCCCCAAAAAGAACCTCAGCAGCAGATGCAAACCCCAAGAATCAAAGAAGTGCCCACGAGTCCACAATGGCATTAATGAATGACTGGAGGAAAGAAAGGGGCAGAAGGAATGCCTTTTCCTCCTAAGAGAAGGTGGAGAGGGCCAGCCGAATGGCTCAGTTGGCTAAGAGAGTGAGCCCTGAGCAACAGGGTCGCCAGTTTGATTCCCACATGGGCCAGTGAGCTGCGCCCGAGCTGAGCTGTGCTGTGCTGCCAACAGGTGACAGGGTGGCTCAGCTGGAGAGAGCACGTGCTCCTAACAACAGGGTTGCCGGGTTCAACTCCCGCATGGGATGGTGGCTACACCCACCAGCAACTAAGATTGCACATGGCACCTTGAGCTGCTGACGGGCAACTGGACTTGGAGCTGAGCTAGCTGCACCCTCCACAATGAAGACTGAAGGACAACTTGGCTGTTCCCCTTCCCCAATAAAATCTTTAAAAAAAAAAAAAAAAGGTG